TCCTTGAACCGCTGACCAATTGCCTCGAGGACCTCCTTGCCCTGCGCCTGTGTGCGGGTGTGCTTATCGCCCTGGATACTCTTGCCGACTGTGCGTGTCCATAGACCGACACGGTAGAAGCCCTTGCGCACATTCACAACCACTCCCATCACTTCGTTATCGTCATCTTTCTCGAGGGTCTCACCGATCGCGGCGAGCTGCGCGTGCAGCCAGAGTTCGTCGATGGGGACGGAGCGCTTGTCCTTGAACTGGTATGACCACTTTCCACCGTGCTTGTTTTGGGGGTCCTCCCACTCGGGTCGTACGCCCTTCTTGAAGAGGTGGTAGTCGGCCTTGAGGCCAAGTTCGGAGGTCGGCGTGATGTTGTTCTAATAGCGGTCGAGGTTAGTGTGATCGTTGATCGGGGGAGACTTCGGGTTGGACCTACATAGATGCCCCAGAATTCTTCCACGGAGCTGAAGGTAACCACTTCCTTGAGCAGATCGTTCCAGTTGTCGCCCTAATTTCCCCGAGTAAGTACACTGAGGTCGATATATCCAACTAGTATCTCCTACCTTGCCACTGGGGGGCTTGGTGAACCACAGAGTCCATTCGTGCATAAGAGGGTGCTTCACGTTGAAGTCATCGGAGTTGTGGAAGACAGTGACGGCATCACCAGTCTGAGTCTCGGTGACAGGAGCGGAGTTCTCATCGGCAACAGCCGGAGTACCATTTTCTGCGACAGTAGCCATGATGAATGGATGTGGAGGGGGAAGACGATCGAGTCGGAAAGTCGGAGGGGCGAGAATTTCAGGGAAAGCGCAAATCGGAGCTTTTCACACAAAGAAGATAAGAGAAATCCGAGCCTGGATCGAGTTAGCAGTAATAGTCTGCTCCAGGCAGTGTGAGATCAGAGTGGAGGTGGGCGACAATCGACTGCAAAGAGTGGAAGTTTTGAAGTTCGAGCCACAAAAACTTGCCTTGCCTCTTTGGGTTCTTCCGTAACATAATCAATATCACTCCTAGGCACTAATATACATCCGATCTTCACTTTACTCTTATTTCTACCTTGTTTATCATTGGATTCACTTATTCTAATAATTCAATTTGAATATTTAGATCCAGATGTATACTATCTAGAATTCCGCACGGCCGAAAAAAAGCAGAATAAAAATCTTCCCGAACACGATGCCCGAGCAATAACCGCAACAACCAAAAAGAAAATCCTATATAATGGAGCGCCAACGTGAAAAATGCACAGAATAGCTGACAATTAAAACTTCAAAGGGTATCTCAAATTGCGGCTTGGAATTCTAGCTCCTCGCCGCTGTTCATCAAGCTGAGGAAGCAGTTCCACCCTGTTTAATTGTTAGTGCCTGAAGTAACGAGTGTAACCAGCAACACTTGGAAGCAAAATACTCACCCAAACTGATAACGTTGACAAACAACAATCGCAGCTCTAGGGGGACAAATGTAAAGTTGACACCCTGTACAAACGGCCAGACCATCAAGTTGGCCTTGTAGGCGGGAACAAATGCAGTCCTCCACCTTTCCAAGGGATCAACACCTTCCATGATAGCCATCGAGGAGAGGAAACAGGTGAGCTGGACCGGGGCGAAGAATATTTGGTCGGCGGCAACACGAGCCGCGGTGGTGGACGCAGTGCCTTTGAGAACGACATGACGCTGGAGAATGCCAAACCAGGTAGTGGCAACTGGACCGAAGACGGCTAAAAGAAGAAGGCACTGATCAATAATGTACAAGAGACTCGAGACTCGAAACTTATAGACATACCTCCACCGTATAGAGCCATCCGCCCAGTGCGGGCAAAGTCGTGCTTTTGGAGACCTTTCCGGTCAACAGCTTGCTGTGCTAGAACATCACCACTGCCGAATAGAAACTGTTGTAACAAGGGTCAGGAGTTGGTCCGGGGGAAATGGAAAAGGAGAGGATCGTACAGCGCTGGTGATGCTTGCGGTGAGGATGGGCCTCTTTGCCAACTTGGATTGGTACCTGGTTGGAGAGTGTTTTGAGCTTCGATTCAAGGAGGTCAGTAGCAAGGGGAGACTTACCAGCGCAACATAACTGCAATTGAGTGGTCGTGGAGGATGAAACAAGTGGAGAAGAATGGAATAATGCAAAGAAGGAACAGAAGCGAAGAGGGGAGACGTTGAAATACTATTGTACTGGGGGCAACTGGGGGGAAACAATCTTGAAATTGCGGAGTCGAGATTGCCCTGTCGCGTTGCCCAAATAGGAAATGCATCCGCCTGAAGAGATTTGCGGAGTGACGTAGGGGGGTAGAATAACAGTATTACGATGGCTCAATTTTATGGATAAACATGATATATTGTCAAATATAGCTATAGCAAATAACCTCAACATTAATATACAATAAATCTGTGCCTTCTTTTCACAGCTTCAATGCCCCTCTAAACAACGACGATCAATCGATCTACTTCTGGGCCCCGTCAGGTGACACCGCCCTGGAAAACCTTAAGTGCACGTGCCACAACCCCGATCAGGAACTTAGGGCATAGGGTCCCCACTAGGGCTGCCCGCTCGCTTAGCCCACCCGCGCAAATTTCGGGCAAACAGTGCTCAGCGCCGTGAATCTCGACGACCAACTCAATCCCGACAACCCTCCCCGTCGCTTCCCATAACAACATCAATATGGCTGACGCTGCTCCCCGTGGACGTGGTGGTTTCGGTTCGCGCGGCGACCGTGGTGGTGAGCGTGGACGTGGCCGTGGTGGCCGTCGCGGCCGTCGTGGCCCCAAGCAGGAGGAGAAGGAGTGGCAGCCCGTCACCAAGCTCGGCCGTCTCGTCAAGGCCGGCAAGATCACCTCCATGGAGCAGATCTACCTCCACTCTCTGCCCGTCAAGGAGTACCAGATTGTCGACTTCTTCCTTCCCAAGCTCAAGGATGAGGTTATGAAGGTACGGATCGACACACCTTTTTTTGAAATTGGAGGATTGAGCGGGATTCGACTGGAATGCGACAATTGCACGCAATTGCGCAGTGGAAGCTCGAGCGGAGAAAACGAATACATCGAAATCAGACCAAAAACTAACGTCAAATTTCAACCTACAGATCAAGCCCGTCCAGAAGCAGACCCGTGCCGGTCAGCGTACCCGTTTCAAGGCCATTGTCCTCATCGGTGACTCCGAGGGCCACATCGGTCTCGGAATCAAGACCTCCAAGGAAGTCGCCACTGCCATCCGTGCCGCTATCACCATCGCCAAGCTCGCTGTCCTCCCCGTCCGTCGCGGTTACTGGGGTACCAACCTTGGTGAGCCTCACTCTCTGCCCGTCAAGCAGAGTGGAAAGTGTGGTTCCGTCTCCGTCCGTGTAAGTTTTCTACGGTGGTTTGGTCCTTGTTTTCAAGGGTCAATGATCTGATGAGATGGTTTCTAATTAACTACAGCTCATTCCCGCCCCCCGCGGTACCGGCCTTGTCGCTTCCCCCGCTGTCAAGCGTCTGCTCCAGCTCGCCGGTGTCCAGGACGCCTACACCTCCTCTTCCGGCTCCACCAAGACCCTCGAGAACACCCTCAAGGCCACCTTCGTCGCTGTCGTCAACACCTACGGTTTCCTTACCCCCAACCTGTGGGCCGAGAACAAGCTCATCCGCAGCCCTCTGGAGGAGTTCGGTGATGTCCTCCGCCAGGGCAAGAAGTACTAGGTTATGGATGATGCATGATTTTTGTTCGACAATTCCAATGGGTTTCTTTTAAAACTTCTCCCTCTGTGCTCGGCGATTAAAAGATGGTTCGTGTGTGCGAGAGGCATCTCCGCACCGCTCTGGATGTATTTATCATGGGGAGGGACACAAAATAGCGAAGTCCACGGGCCATTTGCCAGCCAAATTGTTCTTTGAGCAGTAGTCGTATACAGTAGGGCAGTAGGGGTTTTTTTTCACTTGCTCGATATCAGTTTGGCAATGTGCCAATATATGGTTTGAAGCTTGTGTCTTCGACATGCAGCCTACAATATCGCTATGACAAATCATGGATGGATAGGTCCTCCAGGAAGCTCGACATCTAAATAAGCAACAGTCTGGGGTGCAGGCTATCATCTCTGACATCAGGCTACGGAATACTATCATACTTGTCCCTAAAGAAACCTTTCTATAGTTAGACAGCCCATACCCCAGGTTTACCAGAAGCTCAATATGGATGTTTGATGTATCCACACTGGGCACATAGTAGCTGTCAAAGTTGTGGCTACATAGTTATACTATATTGTGGATATAGATCCAAGTAAAGTTGTCTCCCTATCCCAAGCCACTGTGAACACCGAGAGTGTCATCCAATCCTACACCCAACAGATATTTAGAAAGACATAGAAAGACATCCAAGAAAGCAATAGGAAGAGATCATAGGAAGAGATCATAATGATTTCCAACATATCCAAGGATATATATATTTCACACGTGCAAATATATATGTTGGGTCACCAAATTAGGTTTAGCTATCTTACGCGACTTCTTCATCCTCATCATCCTTTCATCTCAGTTCATCATGTCTCTTGGTCTAGTTTCCAAATATTGCTTGTGAGGGTCCCAACGTGACCCGGGAAACCCCCATCACCAGCGACCTTTCTGCTAGGGGATTCCCGGCAAGGTTGCCACGTATGAAGACGCCACGAAACATGTATTTCAAGTACAGAGAACAGCTTGACCTGGTGCTACCAACACTGGTGGTGTAGCTGACCGCCCCCATGGCCTCGCCCGCAAATGCCACTCGCGAGATATCTTTCTTTCGTGGCGGATAGTGGGAAGAGCTTATGCAGTACAGCGGTACCATGGAAGGGTTCGGATAGTGTATCCGCCAGGCGCTATCAAAACCAAGATGGGACTCGCGTTGAGAACCAAGCATTCCTGCCGAACTAGCCATTATATCTAGATGTCGTTTCAGTTGTGGACTAGGGGCCTTTTACTTTGACAAATATTCATCCAGTTTCATTCCCTATAGCTAATATCCATCCAGTATCATTCCCGAGAGCTAAGGTGAAGTCACTATGGCTTTTGAGCAACGAAGCGAAGACGAATGTAATTGACAGTAAAAGAACCATCATGCTGCTGTCTTCCAACAGCCTCAAGAACGTCAACGGCGTGTTTGACGGCTGCATCTCGTGCTTCGGCTGTCGGGAGGAGTTCAAGAAAGGGCTCACCAAACAGACGAATCCTATACGCCATCAGTTATAAACTCAATAATTTATTAGTGTCAGACCTACCATCCTTCAACACCACCCTTCTCATTCTCTGTTAATGTTGTCTGTCTGAGTTGGACCTCGCCCTTGATCCAGTTAAAACCCGCTCCTTCTACAAGCTCCTTCATAGCCTGCTGCGATGGGAACCACCAAGGTGATGCTTCTCGTGCCTTCTCAACGGGAATGCCTTGAGTAACAAGACCGCTGATTATTGCGGAATGTACCTCGGCCACATTTCCTAGCGCACCGGACTCACTAACCAGAAGACCACCCGACTTAAGTGCCTCGAAACAGCCTTTGATTGTATTAGACCTAGTTTCAGGGTCTCTCAGAATCCAATGTAAAGCAGCGTTCGAAAAGACCTTGTCGAAATTCCCGGTTATGAGGTCGGCCTCTTGATCAAGTAGTCGGCAATCGACAACACGGGACTCAATGTGTGGATATACCCTTTTGAAGTGCTCAATCATGTTGGCTGAGCCGTCGATTCCCACGATCCGTTTGACATAAGGGGCTATACGGGCTGTCAAGGGGCCTTCACCGGAGCCGATATCAAGGATTTCATCTACCTTATTAGTTAAGCCTCACAGTTGTCAGTTGGAGACTTACCAGTTGGCTTAGGATCCAGCCAGGTGAGAATCTTGTCAGTTGAAGTTGCAACGAATGGGGCCACCTTTTCGCCGTAAAGGTCGGCCGACCAAATATCTTTCTGTTCTTGCTGCTGTGCCATGTTGTCAGACTTTTTTTTTTTTCAGTCTTGCAAAAGCCCCCTGGACCAGATTTGCAGTGGTGTTATAAGGCCATTCCAGATGTTACGAGGAAGTATACAGCCCCGACATCGGAGCCTTGCATCAACTGCCCAGGTGGGATTCTAGGGGTGGACCGCCGGATGTCCGTCGCGGGCCGTCACTAGCCAAAGCCTAGATCTAAAAAGAGTAAGCAGATCGGCGGTTCCGCTATCGGCGAGTATCAAGCATTGAAGCATTCCACCTTTTTAGGAACCGATATCGGGCTGGCTAGTACAATAGTTTGTATGAAGTGTCGTCATCAGGACAGCTAGTACTGTCGCTGCTATTTGTAAACTTGTTTCTGGATTGACATATGCTGTAGATATGAAGAAAAATGCTTCAACATAGCTCCGACGAACTGCAAGGCATTTCTGACCATCCTGCAGATATGATCGAAGAATCAAGTCCCGATCCACACAGTTGGACGAGAGTAATGTTACTCCCTTTTTAGCTACAAAAAGCATGCTGACACACTTACTTACCAGGAAAAAAAAGCTGTTTATCTTCGTCACCGGGTTGGTGATAGTCATGAACAGTATCCCCGGATCTGTTTAGCATAACGAACCAGCAACTGCTCGTACTGCCGCTAACTACCTACTCGATTGGATACGTTCTCGGGCCTATCCTTTTCGGTCCATTGTCAGAAACATATGGACATTATGGTTGACTGATGGGGCCGGTAAACCTGGAACTGAAGAATATTTTCTTCGTCCTACGCTTGGGAATACAAATGACCACAATGCGAGTTATAGTAGCCTATTTAGTGCACATTTTGCAGAGAGTCTATCGTTTTTGGCGGCCCGGAGTAAAATATAAGAGCGAACGCATAGAATTGAACCAGAGCCTTCGACCTGGATCTCGGCGCTGCTTGCGTGAATGATACCTACCTCGAGTGCTTGTTGACGCGGCGAGCATACGCTTGAAGAGAACGCGCGCGAAGTACCTTTCCTCACCTGGCTGTCTCGTTCCCTCCATCCTTCTCTCATCTCCTCTTATCCTTTTAATAATCACTTTCATCCAATCCCTGTTATTATTGATTTCAAAGCAAGATGAACAATCCGTACGATCGTTCGATGCGTGAGCAATGGGAGTCCAGCCTCATGGGAGCGCAGTTCTGGGACAATGTGACGAGAGATATCCAGGAACGTGCTGGAAATGAGGGACAAGGTATGTTTTTAAATGTGCTGCATGCTTGTTATATTGAATGTTTGATACACAACTGCGCCCATTCATATATACTTGGTGCTAATGATCTCATCTGCGTCTAGCCCTAACTGGCCAATTGCCGCATCAAAGCCCCGTTCAGACTACAGTGACAAACTATACCGAGAAGAGTCCAAAGAAGAAGAAGAAGAAGAGTCGTTTCCAACTCTCTCATCTGGCTTCTTTCAATAGCTTTAGACTCCGCAACACCATTCATCCCTCCCCCGTAGGGACTGATACTACAACCTCACCTGATAAGAGTCCCGAGAAGAGCCAGAAGAGTTCAAAGAATGGTAGCCTCCGTCTTTTAGAACTACATTCCTTTAAGTCTCTCAGTCTCAAGCGCCGAGGCCCAATCCTCGCATCAACTGCAGGCATTGTTGAACTCCAGAAGCCTGCCCGGCCTTCCATCCTGTCCCCTTCGACTTTCCTTCCACCTGAATCACCTTCTACTGTCTTCCCTCCTGAATATCCTATTCATCGCATCTACAAAGGCTCCCGCCCTGCCTTTCGTTCACTCAACAGAGTACCGTCTGCTGCCAACCTAAATATTACTCCCCTCAACGCTCCTGAGGACTCTTATCCTTTTTCCACAATTACCCCCAGCTGTCGGAGCATTATCAGTTTTCAAGAGTGGCTTGAGCGACGAAGTGATCCTCGCCCTGAAACTGTGCCCACTACTCACCCAGCTCGCGATTCTCAAATCAACTTGATGGCTTACCTCAACGATGGTGGCACTTGGGATGATATCCTACGCACTAAGTCGGTCCTCGAACTGAACATGCTTTGCGATGCTCGCAAGGCCTCACCCAAGAGCCTTGTCGATATCGATGGTGATCAGACTACTGATAAAGGTACCATGTCTGATGTGGCCATTGAGTCCAATGTTCCTATCGTGAATGAGACTGCCACCGACGGCCAGGGAGCCCACCGCTCCAGCAAGGAACCAGAGGATGAGATTGAGATTAGCATCACAATACCATCCAAGAAGCAGTTGCGGCCATTGATCGAGTTCCACAAGCTGCGTGTGCTGCGTCTAACTGGTATGTTGAAATCATACCAGAGAATCATCTGGCAGGCGGTCTGGTTGAACCCTCAGCTCACCACTCTCGAGCTGGAGATGGCAATGGAACTGAACATCAAAAAGCCAGGTCCACGTGGCTGGAAGCCCATCTCGGATGGATGGGTGATGAATGTGAAATCGTTTGGCGCGCCTGTTTACTAGTAAGTGATACCGAACTGGGAGTTATGTGGAAGTGAGAGATGTGACATATGCTAACCTGACTGATCTATAGTGGCGAGCATGGCGACGGAAAGATTTCGAGCAAAATCGGGTACGGCGAGTACCTTGACAAGTTCTGCATCGAGAAGGCAAGGCTTCTTGCCGGTGTCACCGGTTTCCTCGTCCCCCGCTACCTGCCGGTCAAGCATCTCACCTTGACCGGCTTCGCCGTGGATGGGGACGCGTTCGGGATGTGGTTCCGGAACCTCGAGGAGGTTCACTTCAAGAAGAACTGCATCGACTGCGGTTTCTGGTTGTCTCGCGCCCAGCGAGACGTTCGAGTTCGTCATTCGAACAAGCTTGGAGTGGCCCGGGGCAAGGACGGGCCCTCCGGGGCCAGCTCCATGGAGGAGCTCGATGAGGAGGAGCTTGCCGAGCTCACCGCTGCGGTGAGTGGTCTGGCGGCCTCCGGGATGTGAACGGACGGTGTCCATGTCCATCGGCGGCGGCACGCTTGCCAGAGCCTTCCCCAGGAGGTTCTGGTGAACGGGCCGCCGAGGAAATACTATCATTCGGTTGTGTAGGATTAAAAAAAAAGTTCATGTCATTCTTGCTACTTATGTAGAGTACGGAATAATGGGATACATGTAAAATAGTAGGCCCAAGGTAAAGTATTAATATCATGATGCTCATACCTCCGACCAAAACTCGAATGAAACTGAGAGAAAGGTAAACCTGATCCACAAATGACAGAAATGAATCTGACTTGAAAAAAAAAAAAAGAACAAATGTCCTACCGTTTCATTTCCAATCTGAATGTGAGTGAAAGTCATTTCCTTACGCACCCTCTTCATCGGAAATACGAATAGCTCCCTCATTGCCGACACCATGGGACCAGAATCCTTCCATGTAGAGCGCACTGTAAAAATTAGCATATCGTCCGCATACAGAGGTTCAGTCTGGGACTCACATTCCGGGGGCGCTTTCATGAGCCAACAGAAGCCAGTATCCAAGGACACCTTGCGTAAATATATCCTGTATAGCGAAGAGTATAGTCTCCGTATCAACGCTCAATCTAAGCGCAAGAGCACCAGCCGCGAGGGAACTACCCAGTATTAGCAATCGTCCTGAATCTACTTTAGAATGCTCTTTTAGATATATAACTCACATAGGGAATAGCGCTAGCATTGCAATCGCGGACCCAGAAATAGACCCAAAGAACCGTTGTGTCTGAGGATCCTTGCCCTTTGCCGCTTTCTGTGCATGGAAGCCTACATGGTGGATCACGACCAGGTAGGAAATACATGTAAGTGTCAGCCAGACCCAGCGCTCGCGGCCGTGGCCTGCAAATATCCCGAATAGAGCTGTTGCCAGCATCGCCAGGTGGGCGACAATGGCGAGGAGTAGGTTTGCACCTGGTAGGCCGGACAGAAGGGCGAAGTTGATGAAGAGAAGGGGTGTTGTTAATGCCCAGTTTACATAGCGTAGCCATAGGACCTGGCGGATGTAGTCTGTATGGGTGTCTGGGACATGTTTGTGGGATTCGTGGACTCTGGTGTGTTTGGTTGTTATGCCTTGGCCTGTTGAAAGGGCTAGGTAGATTATGAAGGAGACGGTGGTGATGAGGGACGTTAAAATGTGGAAGATTCGTTTAGACTGTAAAGATATTAGGTATATATGAATAATAAAGGAGAGGATATAGTATATAGGATAGATATGAACTCACCAGAGGAGCACGAGCGGCCAGAGCATAAAACACTAGCGATGAGATGCCCATCAACACAGTGACAACCCTATAGATGTTAGAACGATTAGGTATTCAGTATATATCCATAATATACACATACCATAAAGTCCGCTTCCCCACATCGTGAAGTTCCTGGTATACCTCAGACCCCGGAATGACAGTGGGAATAGGCGCCACCGAGGATGTGGTGGCGGGTGCCGTGAGAGTAGCAAACTGATCAAATGGAGGTTGAATCATGTCGAATCTGAAGATGTGTAAAAGAAGAAGGGAAGAAGATAAAAAGCAAGAGTATATGGAGTATATGAATGATGATTTTATGTTGCATCAAAACAGGATTGGGGGGCGATGATTGGGACAACCGTCATTGACTACATACTGTCGTCATAACCAATTATCACACTCACTACATGGATTGAATGGATTAAATAAATTGATAGATTAAATTTCATTCAGCTTGGTTTTTAATTTGAAGGTTTGATGTTCTAGATTACTGGTTGCACTGCAGTTGTTAAATTGGCTGCTATGTCCAATCACTGCCTGGAGATGATCGATATAATACATAAGAAATAAGTATACAGACTTGTACAGTGAATCTAGGCGTTTGCCTCATGCATCACTGTCTCACACCGGTCGCAGATCGCATTTTCGATCGCCACCGGCTCCGGAATGGCGTACCGCCAGCACCGTGGACACTTGGAGGCCGGTGGCGCGTACACATACACTTTGCCTGGTTGGCCACCCAGCTCAAATGTCTCCCCATATTGCCAGTCAGCATCCTTGATGTCATCTGGGAGAGCTTCGCTGTGGGATGCCAGGGTGATGGAGGATACAACGAAAAGATCAGGGAGCTCTGACAGATACTGCTGGAATAATCCAGAGCTGCTGGGGAGCACAATGTGGACAAAGGATTGCAGGGAGGAGCCAAGCTGTTTTTTACTACGGGCATGCTCCTGCAGGTTCTTGATGGCGGAGTGGACCACCGTCAGCTCCTGGTAGCTGGTGTCCAGGGCTAAATCCTGCCACTCCGGGGCCGGGCTAGAAATAATACGCTGCAGGGGGTGCTCAGATCGGGTGCGGATGGACTCGGGAGTATGTTCCCAAGTTTCTTCCACAAGTACAGGTGTGATGGGGCCCAGTACCTCTTGAAGATGATTGTAGATGTAGAACAAGGTTGTTTGCGCGGCACGGCGACTTGTACTGTCTTCACCAAGTGTGTAGAGTCGGTCCTTGATCGCCTCCATGTAGAAAGCAGAAAACTCGAGATTGGCCCACCGGTTCATCGTGCTCACACCCTTGTAGAACTCGAAGTTGTCACATGCCTTCTGCGACGTGAGTACCATGTCCGAGAGATGCTTGAGTGCAATTCGATCGACCAGCTGCAGCTGCCCGTATGGGACAACGTTCTCTGGGTTGAAATCGGCAAGGGCACCCAGTAACAACTTGAAGGTGACACGGAACTTGTGGAGACTGGTGTTGACGGTCTGGAGTACCTGTTTTCCAATCACCACGTCGCGCGTGTAGTCGCTGCTTGCCGCCCACATGCGAAGCGCATCGGGACCAAGAGCGTCGTACACGGGCTCTTGGTTCTCCGGTTGCTTCTTTCCTTTTCCTTTGCGAGGTTTGAGAGGAGGCAGCAGAGTTCCATCCATGATGGTCTGCGGGTACATCACATTGCCAATGGATTTGCTCATTTTCCGCCCATGTTCATCCAGGGTGAAACCGTGGGTGATGAGATTCTTGAATGGCGCATGAGGCGGGGATTGACCCGAGCCGAGTTGGTGTGAGATATATGTGAGGAGGCCAGACTGGAACCAACCGCGGTGTTGATCAGTACCTTCGAGATACACGTCTGCTGGGTGGCTCCGACCTTCCATAGGGACATCGATCTCGGCCCAGCTAGTACCACTGTCAAACCAAACGTCCATGGTGTCCGTTCCACGTCGATAGCCCGCTCCAGCTTCGTCCCGCAAGGACGGAGGAATCCATGCAGCATCATCCGCACTGTCGGTCCACCAAGCATCGATTCCCCGCTCTTCAATTGTAGTCATGATATGTGAAACACTATCTTTAGTCAAGACAGCCTCTCCAGTGGTCCGGTGATAGATTGCAGGAATTGGAACACCCCACGCGCGCTGACGCGAGATACACCATTCATTCCGATTCTTCACAAAGTTCTCAAGTCGGTTCTTTCCAGTCTCGGGCACGAACCGGACATCTTCCAACGCTCGAAGAGCACTGCTGCGGATATCGGCCACATCGGCAAACCACTGTTCGGTTGCCCGCACAATGATCGGGAGCTTTGAGCGCCAGTCGTAAGGGTACTTGTGCTCGTACTTATGTTGGGCAAGCAACTGATCACACGATTCGACCCATTCCAACACTGCGGTGTTACCTTCTCCCAAGACAGGCTTTCCGGCTAAACGTGTAGGATCGATGGGCATGGCTTTATCTGTGAATTTGCCCTCATCGTTGACGGGCGCGAACACAGGAATGCCACGTGCAAGACATGCTTCGTAGTCGTCCATTCCATGACCAGGCGCGCAGTGAACCATGCCAGAGCCAGAATCAGCAGTAACAAAGTCCGCAGCGAAGATGGGCTGTGGCTGAGCTTCAGGGCCTTTGAATAGAGGTCGATACGTAGTTTGCTCTGCCAGCTCGGACCCCAGAATAGAGGGCATAATGACCGAGAGATCTTCTTTCAACATACTCTGGAGGTATTCGAACCGCGACTGAGCGATAAGAAGGTAGCCATGTTTTTCCGACAAGACAATAGTGTATTCCAAAGACTCGCTGACTGCAATGGCAGCATTGGCAGGCAGCGTCCAGGGGGTGGTGGTCCAAATCACAGCGCTCACATCCTTTTCACGGAGAAGAGGATTCTCTGCGAGATACGTGGGGATATCGACAAGAGGGAACTTGACTAGGGCGGCGGTCGAGATATGGTCATCCTTGTATTCCAGTTCAGCTTCCGCAAGAGCGGTACCCGTTGAAGGTGACCAGTAAACCGGCTTGAACTTTCGGTAGATAAGGCCGCGGTCCACCATTCCCCGGAAGATACCCAACTGTCGCATCTCGAATTGTTTGTCCATGGTCTTCCAATGGTTCTCCCAGTCGGCCATGACCGCGCAGCCACGGAACACTTTCATTTGTTCCTTCACAGTTTGTCTTGCCAATTTCCGCGCGGCCGTGCGAATGACGGCCGCACTGGCCGATCCGCTTGCGATGTCCTCGTCTCGCAGGCCTTGGAGGGCTTTGAGCTCGATCGGCAGCCCATGGCAGTCCCAACCCGGCACGTACCGCACTCTCTTCCCGCGACCCAATTGCACGCGACAGATGATATCCTTCAAAATCTTGTTGAGCGCATGTCCGACATGGAGGTCGCCGTTCGCATAGGGTGGACCATCGTGCAAGACGAATGGTTGGTCGGTGGGCCTTTCGCGGCGTTGCCAGGCGTAAAGATCATCGGTGCATCGTTTTAGGTATTTGGTCCGATCGACAGACGATACACGTGGAGGGAATGAGGATTTAGGAAGTTTTAACGTTGAGGTCCATGAGCGAGGGATTGACCGCGCCAATTCGGGCATTGTCCAGCATATCCTAGAAAATGCTAAGAGGTTAAGAAGAGAAGAGTCTTGGCGTTTGACAAAACATGGCTTCTTCCCAAAGGAGTTTAGACTCCGCCCTGGACTTCAACCTCGGGAACTCCCCTGTTGACTATGTATATTACAAAGTACTCCAATCATTAGAAACCTAACCATGTCTATGTTTCTTAATCTCCCGTTTGAGCTCCGAATGATCATCATCGAGCATGTGCTCTACACCCCGCTCAGCCCGCCTCTGACTCTTGAATCGGATGGAATCGAATACCATGATCTTAGCTATAATGCGTGGGTCAGTAGAGGTCGCAATGCGTGTTATAACCATCAGAGCAAGCCCAGCTCTTCAAACTGTTTGCCTCTTCTCCTCACAAATCATCGAATTTCGACCGAGACTCAGGTGATCCTCGGACGCATGAAAGTCGACTACATTCTAGACATATCAGTCAAGGATGACTTGCGCCTCTTGCTAACCTGGCTGTCAGTACCGTGTCTCACAACCCACATAACGACCCTCTACGCGAATGTGCGTCTGTTCGGTCACGTTATCGAGAAGCGCACCATCCGTAGCCAACTTGGCGACGGCGGTCGGCTAGGCTTCCACTGGTACTTCTATGCGGCATTAGAGCGATTTTTCCGCTATGGTCCTGTGGGAGAGAAAAAGCGCAAAGAAGAAGACGAATCTTCTGGATATCCTCGAAACACAAAGGAATTCGAGGATCGGAAGATGCTGATCGACACACTCGTTCTCGACTTCCAGTCTGCGGACCTGGAACTTTCCTTCCCACCAGAAGATGTCACATACAAGCAGTGGTCCAGGCGGCATTGGGGTCTGGATCGGGGAGACCGGAGCGAGACTTCAGAGACATTGTCATCATATAAAACGCGCCCGGAGTGGCTCTGTGAATATCTGAAGGCCTGGATAAGCGGTCTTCTTTACATGAGCTATCATACTTCCAAATTCGGGCAACCATTATATGAGCATATTGGGACGATCCAGATGCTTGTTGATGGTCAACTATATCATGAATTTGATCTTGCAGCTTGGTTAGCTCGCCTACGGTTTACCGATTCAACCTCTATGATGGGTCATTTACCTACTGATGACAGACAGTCTGGATTTTGGAAATGGAAAAAAGAGACATTGCTGAGAAGGGAGGCCCAAGGGTTTCCCGTGATATGGCCATCTGATGATGAATTAGGACGAAGAGAGGTGTGATCATTTTATGTGTTCCATGGAGTGTTGGAAGGATGTTTGTGATATCAATAGGAAATCCTAGAGACATGCATTTTATAGTTACAACATATCTAGTCAGATTATCCGTTGAACATGTTATTTTAGAGGGTTACTCTGATGGGTACTATACATTTGTGTATTTCTGCCATTATACCCTCCAGCTATAATGGAATGCCATTTGTATGGTTTTAAATCATAGCTTAGTGCCTCTTACTAATAATTTGAAATGATTTGAATGCCAAGTTCTTAGTTACAGTCTATACTAGTTCTTAGAACAACATGTGGCGAGTCTGACCGGAGCCCGGGACCGTCGGGGCCCGTGGAGCCCGCGGTACCCGCGGATCCCGTGAGCATTCTATAACCCTTAAGAATCAGCATTGGAGCCTCAAAAGGACGACCCATCTCGGTAACTGGCTCATAATTGCCTTTTATTCACACATTGTGCAAATCGAAAATCGTTGGAACAAAGCCGACTTGACCCTCTGCTCGCCTAAGGGTGTTCCGCATGAACATCTTAAGATATCTACAATGAAAAAATCCGAGAAAGATACAATTGATGATCAGGAGCCTAAGGAAGAAACAAGTGCCTTTCGTGGATATCTGGTAAGAACATTCCCCTTCCACCGCAGGCTAAGTCTAACACCAAGCAGAGGATCTTTCACTATGGCTCATCCAAAGACTATACCTTGCAAGTCATTGCCACTGCCTGCGCACTAGGGTCCGGTGTTGGCATGGCTCTTGTCAATTTGGTGTTTGGCCAGTTTATCACACTCATGACTGGCTACACGGCGGGTCATACGGATGCTTCGAAGTTGCGGAGTGAATCTGCGAGACTAAGGTATGTGCAATGCCCTTCAATTTAGATGGACAGGAAGGAACTAATATATAAAAAAAAGTCTCTTCTTCTTCATTATCGGCCTATGCCGATTCTTCCTCACTTATGGATACAGTACACTCTTTACATTTGCCGCATACCGGATCACACGAAACATTCGCCGCCAGTACCTGAAAGCAGGCCTGAGCCAGGAAATTGCCTTCTTCGATTCTGGCATTAGCGGATCGATTGCGATGCAAGCTACCTCAAATGGAAGACTGTTACAGGCTGGAATATCGGAAAAACTGGGACTTGTTGTCCAGGGCCTGTCCGCTTTTATATCGGCCTTCGTCCTAGCATTTGTCACTCAATGGAAGCTGACTCTCATTTGCTGCTGCATTGCCCCATCAATGCTCCTAGCCGTGGGAATCGTCTCCACATTTGAAGCCTCAATTGAAACAAAAGTCCTCAAAGTTCAGGCCCAAGCTGGATCTTTTGCAGAGTCTATCCTGTCAAGCGCTCGGACGGTGCAGGCATTCGGGCTTCGAAAACAACTACTATGTGAGTTTGACAAGTTTTTGCAAGCTTCGAGAAAGCTTGGAAATAAGAAATCTCCCCTTTTTGGTTGCCTATTTGCCACGGAGTACACCATCATCTTTGCAGGGTTTGGCTTGTGCTTTTGGCAAGGCATAAAAATGGTATCTACTGGGGAGGTCAAGCAATCTGGGGACGTTTTTATGTTTGTTCAGTCTTTGTCCTTTCACAACCGGCATTGCTAATCATGATACTCACAGTGTGCTCATGTCCGTGATTGTGGCAGCTACAAGCTTGACGACTATAATGCCTTATTTGATTGATTTTGTCCGCGCGGCCTCCGCGGCGGCAGAGCTATTCCGGCTTATGGACCGAAAGTCGAGAATCGATCCGTTCGATGACTCCGGAGAAAGACCGACAGACGTGATGGGATATCTCGATTTTAGTAGCATTTCGTTCGCTTACCCTACGCGCCCTGATATCAAGGTATTAAACGACTTCTCACTGCACATTCCCGCCGGCAAGACAACTGCGCTCGTGGGGGCAAGCGGATCTGGCAAAAGCACTATCGTTGGATTGATTGAACGATGGTACGACCCTTTGTCTGGAACGATCAAGCTCGATGGCCAGCCTATCGAACTTTTCAACCTCAAATGGCTACGTCAACAGGTTAGGCTTGTTCAACAAGAACCCATCTTGTTTGCTGGGACAGTCGCTGAAAACATCGCGAATGGCCTTGTGGGTACGCCTTGGGAGAATGAATCCCCAATTGAGAAGCTGGCTCGGATACAGGATGCTGCTAAAATTGCCTTCGCTCACGATTTCATCACCGAGCTTCCTAGAGGGTATGATACCGCCATTGGGGAGAGAGGCGGGCTACTATCCGGAGGTCAAAAGCAACGGGTTGCAATTGCTCGCAGCATTATTTCCCAACCTCGAATTCTTCTTCTGGATGAGGCAACGAGTGCACTTGATCCTCATGCCGAGGAAGTCGTTCAACAGGCACTAAACAATGTGTCCAAGGGACGCACTACGATCACCATTGCACATAAATTAGCAACTATAAGAGATGCTGATAATATTGTCGTCATGGAACATGGCCGTATTCTCGAGCAAGGTACGCATAACTCCCTGTTGGAATCGAATGGTGCGTATGCACGATTGGTGCGGGCCCAGGATTTGTCTGTGGCGACGCAGGACACCGAATATACCTCGGATAGCCAGGATGAAACAGAAAAAGAGGATAATGTTACACTTGCTGGTGAATTGACCCGCTACTCGACTACGACGAAGTCAGCCTCTGAGAAGCAGTTGAGTCGGGATGATTTTGACAATTGGAAAAGATTGGGTCTTCTCCCAACAGTTTGGAGATTGGTGAAATCCACCCCTGAGCTCAATTGGACTTTGGCGGTTCTGATTCTGGCTTGTTTAACAGGAGGTGAGGCTAGCATTTTGAACCCCTATTTTCACAGATTGAAACTGATCAAATTGTAGCTGCCGCATTTCCCGGTCAAGCTATTTTGATGTCTAAGTTCATAGAGGTCTTCAAATTCAAAGGCTCGGCTATGCGGACGAAAGGGAACTTTTTCGCTCTCATGTTTTTCGTTCTCGGGCTTGGAGCTTTCGTTGTCTATTTTATTATCGGATGGACATCAAATATTGTTGCACAGGTAAGTCTCCTTTATTGATGGGTGCATCTTGGCTCGACTAATCCGACAAGACACTGAACCACAAATACCGGAAGCAAGTCGTCAATGACATGATGAAGCAAGACCTACAATTCTTTGATCGCACCGAGAACACTACGGGGGCATTGGCCAGCCGTGCCGACTCTTATCCACAGGCCGTATTTGAGCTTATGGGCTTTAATGTTGCTCTGATACTGGTTGCAACGACTGGTGTATTGTCATGCTCCATCCTGGCAATAGCATATGCATGGAAACTTGGTCTTGTGATTGTTTTAGCAGGACTTCCACCCATGCTCGTTTCCGGTTACGCTCGCATCCGGATGGAGGGTGCAATGGACCACAAGATTTCAAAGCTGTTCTCGAAGAGTGCATCCATTGCCTCAGAGGCCGTGACAGCTATCCGGACGGTGTCTTCCTTGGCAATTGAGACATCGGTTTTGGAGCGATACGCCTATGAGCTTAACCAAGCAATTGCCACATCCACGAAGCCAGTGCTTCTCATCATGCTCCCTTTCGCATTCACTCAGACAGTTGAATACTCTTTTCAGGCTCTCGGTTTCTGGTGTGTTTGTCCATCGTATTTCTTTCGCAGGCTCGAATGCCATGTTCTCCGGTTTTGTGACGGGATGCTAACCATCGGATCATCGACATAGGTATGGATGCCGGCTTGTCTCATTTGGAGATCTGAGCATGGTCAACTTTTTCATCGGTTTTCTAAGTGTGTTCTTTTCTGGCCAACAAGCTTCAATCCTATTTGGATTTTCAAGCAGTAAGATGCACTCCAACGCTGTGGGGGAGGTAAAAACAAGTTGCTAACAGCTATCCAGGCATGACAAAGGCAACAAGTGCTGCTAATTACATATTTTGGCTTGAACAGCTCCAGCCTACAATTCGAGAGACTGACGACAACCGGGACATTGGCCCTGGCGACTTTAAGTCTCTCCACTTGGAAAACCTGCAATTTTCTTACCCAATGAGACCTCAAGGTCGCGTACTACGTGGTATTGACCTTCATGTATGCCGGCCCATATCGTCACAAACTGTCCTTTTTCGCTGCTAATACATAGTATAGATCAAAAAGGGTCAATTTGTCGCGTTCGTCGGCGCATCTGGCTGTGGAAAAAGTACCATGATCAGCATGCTCGAACGTTTCTACGATCCAGTAGCCGGTCACATCAAAATCGACGCCCTTACATTGGAGAGCTTGAACCCTTGGCTATATCGAGCTCAAGTAGCACTTGTACAGCAGGAACCCACCCTCTACCCTGGTACCATTCGCGAAAATATCGCCATGGGGACACAGACTGATAGCCCGTCAACGGTTTCTGACGAGGACATCGAGGCAGCCTGTCGGGCTGCCAACGCATGGGAATTCATCTCTTCTCTGCCTGATGGTCTTACGACCCTCTGTGGTGCCAACGGGACACAGCTCTCGGGTGGGCAACGTCAACGCATCGCCATTGCCAGAGCGTTACTCCGGAATCCCCGTCTACTACTACTAGATGAAGCAACAAGCGCGCTGGACACTCAATCAGAGAGAGTTGTCCAAGATGCGCTGAATGAGGCGGCTTCCCAAGGGGATAGAATCACGATCGCGGTTGCCCATCGCTTGTCAACTATTCGTCATGCGGATATGATTTGCGTGTTTGATGGGGGCAGGATCGCCGAGTCTGGAACTCATGAGGAATTACTGGCGAGAGGCCGACTTTATCCGAAGATGTGCGAGTCTCAGAACCTAGGTACTTGATCAGGTGAAGCCTCAGATCCTTTGTGTCTTTTTAAGGCTGACAGGAGTTGGGTGAATTTGTCATATTGCGAGTATTTATTAGAAGAGACAAGGGCGACGATAGAACATTTAATTGGTGGACTGGGATATCTATTCTCATGTAATTAACTTGAAACAAATATACATTATGAAGACAATCGGTCCATGTTCAATCTCTTAGAGCTGCTCCATATCTCTTAGTCTCAGCAACTTGTCAGTGCCCCACCCATAAAAAATCATTGTCGTTCTCTAGCGGTTGAACTCCGCATATCAATACAGATTACCTACCTCATTACAGAGATCTGATGCCTCTTGTTCCGTTGAGATCCGAGAGTTCCGATATCTTCACGTTCCATTGAGGGGAATGCGGGGTAGACATGACATTACTCCAAGATAAATCGGAGTATAGAGCGGCTTGGAGGGCCGAATGATTCACCGTGCTGGCCAATATGAGTTTTTCGATATAGAATGACGTCCTTCCCCGGGTTCCTTGCCGGAGGTCCTACTGCACATACATTGTAGGGGAAAATATCGGGATGGATTCCGGTTTCTCATTCAATCATCAATGTTTATGAAGTCGGTCTTGTCAAGCTCATCAAGTATAGAAGGACTTTGACTCAAATGCCTCAGGCATCCCACCATATGCGTTCACACTGTTCTCTGCAAGTGCACCAAAACGCTCTTTTGGCCGTACTTCTATACTTGGGGAATTATGGAAGTGTCCGATATCCTGTGACTATGACACTACGTTGCTACAATGTTTCTTTGTTCATAGTTGATGTAGAAGTAGAAATTCAAATGCATAAAGATCAGTGATATAAGTTAATTTCTCCCCATTGAGATATTTTTGGAGACAGGTGAAACACCAAGCCTGCTTGAATGATTGTATATGAATCAAACTCAATTCCTTCTCTACTGCACCTCAAGTAGAATTTGAGTTGTCCGCACAAGAGAAAGCAGCCGACCCGCCGGACTCGGCGTAGGAGTTGATAATCCCAACTACTGTTCCATAGGTGCCAGCAACTGTCAAAAAGCATCCAAATGCTATCACGAAGACACTAAAGCAAACCATGGGCAGCCACGTTCTCGACTTGTCTCTACCCGTAGCCCAATTGTCATACAGCCACATACAACCGTAAGGTTGGAAACATAGAATCGTTCCAAGCAAGGCTCCAATTAGGGAGACCAGAGCATCAAAGGCAGGAATTGTGCTGGCAATAATGTACGCAATCACGGTGACGGTGAAGGTACAACCAAGCCAGGAAAGCCAGTGAGTTGGGGTGTTGCTATTCAGATGTGGAGATCCACGGAGAAGGTGGACAAAGATGTACTTTGCAGGTATCTATACACATTATTAGTTGGATGTGCTATGATGGTTTTGCCTCTGTGGGCCTTACATGTATGACAATCGTCGTGGTAACGACCAACCCTGGCAAGGAAACGCCATAGGCAATTTGCTTCACCACCCCGCCAGCTGAGCCCAGAGCTGGCGAGGCAACATAGGAGCCGCAGTAGTAATAAATAACGCAGGCAATGGCTGTGTAGATGGAACTCACGCAGGCCTGGCAGATAAGCAAGGCTGGTGTGTATTGGCGAGGGTTGCGCATCTCCGATACAATAGCGAAAAACCCAGGTGTGCCCGAGAACGCAAATGTGAGATTAGAGATCGCGGTAATACCCTTGACAAAGGATGGATTACCAATGATCTTGAAATCCGAGGACCAGGGCGTCCGAGTCTGCAGTGCAGAGGGAGGGCGGTCTTGGACGCCAACGGCGATAGACACGGTCAGAACTAGAAGAGAATTTAAGGATAAGCTTCAAACATGTATATGGAGAAAAACACACCTGCCGCGAGAATGCATGGCAAGCCGACCCATGCAAGCCAGGTGATACGACCCAGTGTTCTCACACTACTAGTAGCGAATCCAAGTATGGCGGCAATGGCAGCGAAAGCCGCAGTGCATATACCATGAGTAGAAACCGAGTTTAACCCGATGCTAATTCCAAGTATACCAGAGGCGCTGACAAATATATAGTCTGGATTGTCAGTAAGATGGCCTATATATTTGACATTTGGGTTCACTTACACAGGCAGAATACAACGGACAGCACCCAACGACCAATTGGGCCAAACATCAAGGCTCCAGCATCATCGATACCATAAACCTCCCGATGGTTTAGTTTGAAGGTACCAATCACATAATCAGACCACGTAGTGATCCCACCGATGGCAAGTAGGCAAATCACGCCTGGAACAATCCCCAGGGCATCGAAGGCACTCGGAATGGAGAGAATTCCCAATCCAATCTGAGACTTCATCATCAGAATCACAGTTCCTAGAAAACCAACCTAAAGAAAGGTCAGCCTGGTGTGAGGGTGACTATGCAATTCCAATTCGTTAATATGCACATTGCGGTAGTTTGGCCCGTCTTCTGTGATTTCTCCAAACACGACATCGTGAGTCGTAGTTTGTGTGGGCTTTGTAGCAATATCATCTTTTGTTTCGTCTGTCGGCTCGTCCTTGGGTTTATAAGCTGGCATGATCAAGGTTGATGCAGAGTGTAAGTATAATTGCCAGTCCTTTCGAGGGGTCCCTGTATATTCCCTTTTATAACCCGCAAGAAAGTATTGTACATTCTCGACCAATGAGAGCCAATGCCGATTCTATTACTCGTTTCAATTCTAGTTCTATATAGATCCCCACATTCCCCCTCACCCCCCGCATCTCCCTGAAGAGATTCCTGTTATCATTTCAGGGGGTGAAGTGTGACTCGGGAAGTAACCCGAATAGTTCTATTCTCTACAAGAGAACAAGGGAGATACCACCAGGTCAAAATTACCACCCAACAGGGACAAATCGTCTGGTTAAAGATGCTATATTATTAACCAACGCCGGGGCCAATTTCAGATTCTCCATCTTCAGGTCATCAATCACAGTATATAATATATGAAAATCACCCTAAGCTTCGAGTTCTTTTAGGTATTTCACAATTTACTAGAATATGAGGACCTGTGGGATTGACGAAAACGACCGCTTGTCTTGGGTCTTCAAGAAGAAATAGCTGACTCGTCCAGGATGATGCACTGCATTGCTTGAATGTTGGGAGTCTTGGCCGACGGGACAAACGAAACCTCAAACTTCCGAGCTTCAATAACTTTCAGACCAGCCGTCTCCATGAGAGAGGCCGCATTGGATCCAGAAATTCCGGATAGGCCGGCCTTCTTGACGGCTTCCATGAGCCGGGAGTACCATTTCCAGTTATCGCTGAGGCATTCGTCGGTACCGACACGATATAACTTCCAATGCAGGTCCTGATGCTCTAAGATGCCTTGGTCCTGAAGCATGAGGCTGGCAACCTGGAAGTACTTGTGCCAGTCGTTGATAACCAGGAACAACATGCGTCCAAAAAAAGTAGCTAAATGTGTTTGGTGCCAATGCACCACGGCTGAGGCTGTCCGCCTGCTTCTTCATGTCCACATCTATAATATTACCAGTCTCCCATTGCAGATTAGACGAGGCAGCAGCAAGTGCAGGTGCGGGAACAGGAGTAATGTCAACACCGACCACTTTTGCGCTGGGGAGCAGAGCAGACATTAAATGGTTGCAACACCAGTTCCGCAGCCAATATCGGCTGCCCTAAAGGCGTTTGTGACATGACGGATGTACGCCAAAAACGGAGCACCACCAATCATGGCCACAATGGCATCGGCTTGCGCATCGAGTCGATCCTGCTCAATGGCGCTACAGAGCATATATTAGTGAAGGGCTCAATTCAGCTTGGGTTTTAAAAATTCGCACTTATTGGGGAGGAAGTATGACGATGATGATGTGTTGTGATAGCCGCGTTCCATAGTCGTGGCAGCCATGGTGGGTTGATTTTGACCAGGTAATGAATGAATGAATGAATGCTGTTTGTCTATTCTTGCAGAAATTGTGCAAAACCACCAGAGTATGGCTACAAGGCGGCTTAGTGTATTATAATTGCTTTTGAGCATGGGCGATCCATTTCAAGCCGGCTGGCCTAGGTATGTTGACGGAGGGTTTGGTGGAGCCTAAGTTGGTCTAGAATCTAAGTTGGGAAATACTCCGGACTGGGGCTGTTCGGACCTGGATCCTGTTTACGGTCTTGAGTGAATTGCAGCGGTAGATACTCACGGGAATAATTCAATTTGCCCAGTTAGGAGAGGGTTCCAGATGCCGATCAACGCGAAGTCCGCTCCAGGTCTAGTCTGCCAGCCCGATTCCAGCCCTTTTCCAGCCCTTTGTCCACCCTCCGAGTACATGAAACTAGGTGTGTATCGGCTCATTTCGCTCAATTTCTTCTGCTAAGTAATGCAAAAAGAAGTACCACACTACTGGGGCCTTGTTTAGGTCAAAGGTGTATTAAATGATTCATCCGGCGCTGCACAGTTCTCGTGGCATCTTCCCAGCACTGTGGTGGCTACTTCTATATTAGCCAAAATCGATCGAGCAAACTGATCTCGCGAAATCATAGAAGATCAAAGCAAAGTCAGCGAAATGCAGTCGCTGGACGACAGCAGCAAGACCACGACTCCGGTTATCGCACCAGCAGACCAAAAAGCTCAGAGCCCACCGAGCACCGAAAAAAACAGTTACGAGGTCAGCTAGGAGGGTGGTGATACAGATCCTCTATGTCCTCGTAGCTATAGCACCTTGAAGAAATGGCGTATCGTTCTTGTTATTTGTTTTGTCAGTCTGTGCATGTAAGTTACGCACGATCAAAGCAACTGGCCCAAGCTAACGCAACAAATTCAGGACATGCGCTAGTTCCATCTACACCGCGACATACCAGCAGATGGAAGCAAGGCTAGGCAACTCAAGAATAGTGTCTGTTCTTGGTCTTTCCCTTTTCGTTCTCCGTATCAGTTTCGGTCCTATCGCTCTTGGCCACCTCAGCGAGTTTTACGGTCGGCGACCCATTTACATCATTTCCTAGACGATATATGTTATTTTCATTATACCACAGGCTGTCTCTAAGAACATTGGGGTGATTCTCGTTTTCCGTTTCCTCGACGGCTTCGCTGACAGCGCTTTCCTCGCCGTGGCTGGAGGCACCATTCACGATCTCTTCGACAGGGCGCAACTACAACACCCGATTTCTATCTTCTCAGTGTAGCCATTTATCGGACCCAGTCTGGGTCCCCTGATTGGCGGTTTGACCTGTTCCTATCTCGATTGGCGATGGACGTACTACGTTTTAATCATTTGGTCTTTTGTTTTGTGGTTGGCAATCATCTTCCTTGTTCCTGAGACATTTCGTAAGCTTATGGCCGTAATCCTTCAAGTCCTGTTCCAAACTAACATGAGCTAGATCCGGTTCTATTACGAAACAATGCGAGAAAGCTTCGAGAAGAAACAGACAACGAATGGTTTGCTCCTATGGAAAGAGCGCACCGGTCTGTTGCCCACACAATTGGCAACTCCATACTCCGACCATTCCAGTTTCTCATCCTTGAACCCGTGTGTTTCTGCCTCTGCATTTTTACGGTACTCTTGCATGGTATTCTTTACTTATTTTTTGACGCTTTCCCGCTGGTCTTTGTCAACAATCATGGTTTCAACTTGTGGCAAGTCGGTCTATCCTTCCTAGGAATTGGTCTTGGGATGATCCTGGCTGTTTTCATAAATTCGGTTTGAAAAAATGCGCGAAACCGTCTTGTGCACAAGAAAGAACGAGAGACGGGTATCCAAGGTGCCAGCGAGCCCGAGTTCCGGCTTCCTGCTGCTATGGTAGGCTCTCTGATTGTGCCTGTTGGCATGTTCATGTTTGGATGGACAACATTCCCCTGGGTGCACTGGATTTCTCCTATCATAGGCTCTACCATCTTTGGATTTGGGTAAATACAAGCTATCGAAATGCAAGAGGAAAAGGTTCAAAACCTGACGTAGTGACACCAAACTAGGGCATTGCTGCTGTTTACCTCTATTTTCGGTTTTCTTGTAAGCCATCTGGACTATACATTTTTTTTAAAAAAGATTTGTCTTTTGAAAGGTACAACTGACAGAAGTTGCATCAGGTTCACGCTTATCCAACGTACGCAGCGAGTGCCATGGCCGCAAATGGCTTCATCCGATGCATTTTTAGTACGTATATGAAGGCCGTAAAATGCCATGACGTTGGTTTTCAGCATAAAGCTAATCTGAAACCGTAGCCGTATTTCCGCTTCTCGTCGAGCACATGTTTGAAGGGTTAGGATACCAATGGGCGTCATCATTGTTGGCGTTTCTCACTGTTGCCATGATACAGTTTCCGTTTCTCTTTTTCCGCTATGGCAAACTTATGAGAGGCAGAAGCCGCTTCGCTAAGAAATAGTTGCTTCTAGCCAAGCAAGTATATGCATGATAGCTAAATTCCACCGCTAATTTCATCCACTTTTAGCTTTCGTTGATCGGCACATTGCTGCGCACCGATTTGAGCGGGCAGCCTGTGTGTGCGGAGAGTCCTATAAATAATTAGCTCCTAGAGTGGTTATTCTAATACAACAGCTTCATAGCTATAGCAATATATTTCATGATGTCATGCACCAGGGTCTCGCATGTAAACGGCGACTGGCCGATAACCTCGAGGTCGTGACAACGTAGTGGAATGGGATGACAGGTGACTAATTGAGCCTAAACTTGCTACTAATAACGCTAAGTACCTATGATTCACTAACTTGCTTCGTAGCTCGAATTTTCGATGCTAAGCCTACGGATGTTTATGATTTCGACATGTGTTTTCTGAGTGTAAGGATGTTACTGTAACTGTTTCTGTGCTTCCCTGGACAGAGCTCGATAATTCAACATATTTTCACGAAAGAATTTTCAAGTAGAACGATTTATTAAGTTGTGTCTTTTTATTTTGGACGATTTCCTTTTCCTTTTCAACCATTGGGCAATTTACTCTGTATGTGCCCTTATTCTTGTTATAAAGGACGATTCGGATATTAGTTAGCATGAAGCTACCATGATATAATTGGCATATATCTTTGCGTTCAGAGTGTTACTGGTCCAAATCAGGTTGATAGAGCAAGAACGATGTGTTCAAGGGCCAATAATGAAATTTATCAGTGGAACAATATGGACAATGCTCCAAGCTTTGGACAGCCCAGTGGCGGCGAGCGTTTGGCGAAATATGCTAGGATGCTTTTTAGCTCAACTTTTCGTAGAGCCTTGTCGTGTATATGCCTCCGCTTTTCATGTGTGGCCAGCAGTTTCTCCCAGACAGAACAGCGTACCAGTTGTTAGCCCTGAAGGAAGCTTCTAGGTCTGTCTGCCTTTTCTGGTGTTAGGCTACCAAATTGAGCGTCTTTGATCATTGGACACACTATACTCCTGGGACTCAGATCCTTGCAGTTTGAAGGCAGATGCAATGCATCAGAATAGAAGAGAAGGAACCATAAACAGATAGTCAGCCTCTTTCTCCAATAGTTTTACATTGAAAGAAATACCTAGGATTATCATAGTTCATAATGCATTGAAATATAGTATGTAAAAGAAGAGCTTGCAATAGTCTCAAATCAGTACACTGTCAAACAGCTCACAGCCCCATTCTTGAGAACTTCAAATAACAACCCCGGGAACCCAAAAAGCTCCGTGTTGCCTAATCCCCCATCTTGCCCATCGGAACCACTCCGAGGACCTTTGGCCGTGCTCTCCTCCCAGCCACCGAGGAACTCAACACTGCTCTCAGGGCTGTCTCCCCAGCCACGGTTCAGCACCATTGGCCGTTGTAGAGCACGCTCCTCGCCGGGGCTGGCGTAAGATCCTTTCCAAGTAGCGCGCAGCCGCTCTGAGACTTCGTCATAGGGTGACTCCGAAGTCAGACTATCCCCAGATTCATCTAATGGAATTAGCCAGCGACTCCGGCGGTGACGATTAAACGGATAAGACCCTGGGACATTTCCATGAAGAATAATCTTTGTCACTGTCAGTTGGGAAGATGGTGGCTGCAGTGATGGATCTGGGAGCCCTGAGGCGGGAAAAGCAGGCCCAGGTGTTGTTGGATACGAGATGAAAGCATCGAACCCATGGTGGAAGTAGTTCAAAAAGTATTCTGCGGGCAGTGAGGTGGGGTCTCCAATATTGAAGGTAGCCATCTCTTCGTCAGAATCATCAGTTACGCTATTAGTGGATGAGTGATCACCGTCCGGAATCTCGATTCCTCTGCCTGGAGAGGGACTTAGGTGCAGGTCCCCACCCCCAGTTGCACGATGAATCGAGATTCGGCGATCGTTCTTACGGTAGATTGCGTCAGGTGGACCGAAGTCAGCAATCAAGTCCTGGGGAGTCGTCTCTCCCAGTGATATGTATAGTGGAGAACCCGTCCTGCGAACCACTTCAAGTTTCCCAGCACCCAGAACATGCCACTCCTCGATTTCATCCGCCAGGGATTCTCGGGATTTGCCAATCAAAGCCGACGAGCGTGGGTACTGTGTCTGTTGCGTGAACAACTTGGCTCTGACCTCAGGCCATGACGACCCTTGGAAGACTGACATGGATGTGGCCGGAAGGGCGGCTGAGGAGGATAATAACGCTACAAAATCACACTGGTCGGACCAGGCAGAGTGCTGAAGAGGGAATGAGAATGCCACCCCGGGATATGAGAGTACGTAGGTGCCATATGGCGACTGAGGATCTGCCGGTGGTACATATTCTCCTGGGTATGAGGGACCAAACAAGCGATTGTAGACGTGCCGGAAGCTGGGACCGTGCGTAGACAAGGGTTGTTCTGCCGACTTCCCACCTTTGAGGACATCCTGATTTTTGTATATCAGGTTCACTCGAGAGAAGTCGAGAACTTCGATCAAACGGAGCCTCTGGTCAGGACCGTCAAATCGAAGGCGCAGGCCATTTGAAGGTAACTGCAATATCACCGGTTTGCGAAGCGGATCTGCGGGGGAGTAGGATAGGTCGATGGCGGGATAGGTTTGAGGATACGATTTGACGCGGGTGAGGACATTATGAAGCGAAGCGCCCAGGGCTTTGTAAGTATTAGCGAGGGTAGCTGAAAGGGTTGTGAGACTAGACAAAGAGACATACTGATAAACCCAAGTCCTTTCCCGGGGAATATCTGCGCCTGCGTTGGGGAAGTAGAAGTAGTCATAGTGATCTGTCTGTTTTCATGACCCGTCAACTATGGGTGGACGACAGTCCATGCGATAGTCGAGCTATGCTTATTAGTTTAAAGGGGGAGGGGGCTAGAGGGTGCGGAGGTGTAGGGGAGTCAACATAATATGAGGGGGGGCCGATAAGAGGGCGATGACGATAGCGCAGCCGACCGAGTCATGTGAGAGGGGGAAATGACTGGATTATGTAAGGTTTGTTTATGTTTTCCCGTTTGAGACGGAGCTCCACTGATATACACAACGCTGAAAGACTTCGACACAGTTGATAAAAAGATCAAATCGACTTTCAAAATAACCCTTGAATATTACTGCAAACCCCAAAATTACACTCCAAGTGTCACATTGTCAACATGGCCGGCCCACCAAGGCCCCCGTCCACCCTCCCCACCACGAGGAGGTCGGGTTTGCGCCAACCGGTTCGGCGAGCAGGTTCGGCAGTCCCAGAACGCCATGCACCGCCGGGAGTGTCTACACCATCAGTCAGGTCCTCTACAATGGGTGCACCGCGTGTGGCAAGGAGCCCCGAAAAGTCGAGCGCTCCGAGTAAGAGGAAGGAGAAAGATTTTGAACGAGAAATCAACGAGGACACAAGCATTCATGTGGTGGTGCGCTGTCGCGGCCGCAGCGATCGCGAGATCAAAGACAACAACGGTGTAGTCTTGTCAACCCCAGAAGGTGTGAAGGGCAAGACCCTCGATCTCTCAATGGGACCGAATGCGGTTTCAAACAAAACATATGCTTTCGACAAGGTCTTCTCCCCCGCCGCCGATCAAACCACTGTCTACGAGGATGTTGTTGTGCCGGTCCTCGACGAGGTTAGTATAGTTACCACGTACAGAATCAAAGGACCGCGCTAATTCCTTGCAGATGTTGGCAGGTTACAATTGCACAATCTTCGCATACGGACAGACTGGAACGGGAAAGACATACACCATGTCAGGTGACATGACTGACACATTAGGCATCCTGTCCGACGATGCAGGAATTATTCCACGCACCCTTTACGCCTTGTTTCACAAGCTCGAGGACACAGAAAGCACAGTGAAATGCTCCTTTATTGAACTTTACAACGAGGAACTCCGTGATCTTCTGTCATACGACGACAGCACCAAGCTCAAGATTTTCGAAAACGAGAAGAAGGGAGGACACAGCACAATGGTTCAGGGCATGGAGGAAACCTACATCGACTCTGCGTCCAGTGGAATCAGACTGCTTCAAACAGGCAGCCACAAACGCCAAGTGGCAGCGACAAAATGCAATGACCTCAGTTCCCGAAGTCATACAGTTTTCACTATCACAGTTCTCACAAAGCGCACGACCGAATCTGGCGAGGACTATGTGAGCTCCGGCAAGTTGAATCTAGTTGATCTCGCGGGTAGCGAAAACATCGGACGGAGCGGTGCAGAAAATAAACGAGCAACAGAGGCAGGCCTCATCAACAAGAGTTTACTCACTCTTGGAAGAGTGATCAACGCTCTGGTGGATAAGAGCTCGCACATTCCTTACCGAGAATCAAAACTCACGAGGCTGCTACAAGATTCACTTGGAGGCCGAACAAAAACATGTATCATCGCCACTGTTTCGCCCGCCCGCAACAACCTAGAAGAGACCATCTCTACCCTGGATTATGCCTTCCGAGCCAAGAACATCCGCAACAAACCCCAGATTAATTCTATTATCTCCAAAACTAAGCTTCTGCGTGATATCGGGATGGAAATTGAGAAGCTTAAGAGCGAGCTCATTGCCACCCGGCATCGCAATGGTGTGTATATGACGCCTGATGCGTACGAAGAAATGACGATGGAAAGTGAATCGCGGCGAATCGTCAACGAAGAACAACGTGCCAAGATCGAGTCGATGGAGGCAAGCCTTCGCCACAAGGTCCAAGAGCTACTTTCTATCACGGGCAACTTCAACTCATTAAAGCATGACAATGAGGACACTCAATCCAAGCTCAAAGAAACGCGCGAAGTTCTCAACGAAACAGAACGGTTTTGGAAGGATACCCAGGAGAAGTTGGACGAGGAAAAGATTGTGCGGAAGGCCCATCAAAATACGGAAAAGCAACTTCGTCACATTGGTGCCGGCCTAGTGACTACTTTAAACGGTACCATTCAAGATGTGAATGGACTGCACGCAAAATTGGATCGCAAAGATAATTTGGAGACTGACAACCGCCAAACCTGGCAGGCCTCAACCGGTGAGGTATCGCATGTCACAGAACGGGTGGATGCTCGCATGCAGATCTTCCAGACGCAGCATGCGAAGCTGCTCGAGGAGATGTCTGGCAAAATCCACCAATTCGTGGATCATGAACTGGACACTGTGCAGTCTACCCGCTCCCACCTTAAGGATATTGATGCCTCATTTGACAAGGCCGAGGCAGAGGCCAAGAATAACACCTCCACTGCCCACAACGAGATGAATGAAGTTCTCGAGGAGATCAAGGTCCTTCGAGAAGAAGTTAAGTCCAAGGTTGGCGAAGGCCTGAATGGCTTGTCAGCTGCTGCTGCTCGGATCTCCGAAGAGGTTATTGGGGAGTTCTCGGAGTTCCACTCCCAACTTCACTCGTCATACAGCACACTCGGTAAGGACTTCAAGACCATGTTCGAGGATATGACAAAGCACCTCGACGAACAGAAATCTGAGGTCCACAAACTACGTCTCGAGCTGCAGGCAGCTAACCGCCAGACGGTGGAGGCCAATAGAAAGGCTTCATCTAATCTAGCACAGGTCCTGGAAGAGGAACATGCGAGTGCACAAGCCGAGCGTGAAAATCTTATGTCTCACATTCGGGGACTCCTCGAGGACTCAAGCCATAAACAGAACAACCGTCTCAAGGGTAAATTTGATAACCTTCGCACCGAGATCTCGGCATCAGGCGACTCTCTTGAGCAAGCGACTGCGCAGCACGACAGACATATTGATGAATGGATTTTCAAGGAGGAACAGTTTGCCAAGGACATCACTGCATCCAAGGATGAAATCAAAACCAGGATGCAGAATGATTGGGAGGTAAGACTGCCTGACATCTTTGGGCTGCGAAATGAGGCTAACGACAGTAGACTTTCGACCAGCGTAATGCCTCAATTCATCGGGCAACGGAGTCTGTGCACCAGGAGACTGTGCGGATTGTTGATGCTCAAATGAGCGACATGGGTACACAAATGGAGGCTCTGGATGACTTCGTTGCGAAAGCACGGTCCCAAAATGGCCGCTTCCATGAATCGCACCTTGGCAGTTTGAATGCCATGGTTAAAAATGCCCGAGAGGCCCGCTTAAATGTCTATGGACAACTCGATGGGCTCACTGGACGAGTCGAGCAACTCCAGAACGATGTCGATATACATACCGAGAACCTGGAACAAGCTACTGCACCTCTACACGCTGAAGTCCGCCAGCCACTTTTGGAAATGCGGTCCAACATTCAGAGCCACCCCCTGAAAGAGTATGTCCCAACAGGTATAACCCCTCAGAAACGACGGTACGAATACCCTTCGGAGATGCCTCAGACGGAAGCTCACGACGGTCTTCGCACTCGACACCGGACATCCAAGCAGTTTACCGCTCTGCCATTCAGTGAGGAGGAGCAACAAGACTCCCCGGCTCCCACTTCGCCCCAGGCTTCACCACCCAAGAAATTCGTGTATAATGATACCCCGGAAGAGGTAGGCCATTCTCTTCCATCATCCGTAGCCCCACCTTCCAACACTGGCCTTAGAGAAGTCGACCTAAACATCGCCAGACCGGTCGTGTCTGATGGCGACGATGCACTACCTCCCGCCAAACCGGAAACCCCCGCGTTGGCCACATCCGTGGACCTGGATGAAACGCCAGAAAAGGAAGAGCCAGAACCTTCCCGCAAACGGCGCCGCTCGAATTCAAACAACATTCCCGAAACCAAACTCCCCAAAACCATGCTCTCGAAAAGAATGGCTGGCATGAAGGAGGGTCGCGAAAACATGCCCCCCTCAGCCATTGCCAGTGGCCGAAGATTCAGAAATCGCACCTCTGATTAGGTGGATTCTATGTTATTTTCTGCGCTTTCTTTCTTTCTTTTTTTTTGCTCTTTTCTGACAATTTTTGATACCCGATAGTCGCTGGACTTTCCATTCTGGGTTGGAGTTTTTGGCTGAGAAAACATGTTGGGTTGGACATTCTCCTGTATCTCTTTTTTTGTCTGAGTGCCATAGAAAGGCGACTGTACTTGGCGTTTCTGGTTTGGCTACATTTATATTCCTATAGGGATGTCAAATTCGATCTTAATATCATACTTGATCTCCCCATTTGGATTGATTCGTCTTGTATTCAAAGTATATTCATGAGGTTCACCCGGCACTAGCCTGTTGGTAGACTATATTTAATACAAGTGCCGAGGGTTTTCCCGTGAGGCGCCAAAAACAGGAATAATGAATCATCAAGAGTGTTCCGCCTCATGTGCTGCAGCATGAGCGGCACTGCTCCCCTCCCCCTGAATAGTCTCTTCAGCTGTGTCTGGAGAGAAGGGATGCTGCACGTGTTCTTCCTCGTCATGTTCTTTTTTCGAATCTGTATCCTCCGCAGCATCAATAATGACCTGCAACTCGCTCATCCGCTTCGCAAACTGATCCATCATCTCCTCAAGTGTGCTCTCCTTCTCCTTTCCACCCACCTTAATCGGCAGTCCACTCGTGCCACGGATCTTCAGCATCAATCCCTGTCCTGGTAACTCGCCGGGATTATTATTCTCAAAAGTGGGTGCCGGCACCACTTCCGTGTTGAGGACCTGCCATGTTGATGAGAAGCTTTGCGCCGCGGTAACGCGATACTGCGGGTGTAGTTGTCCCTGATCTTGTGGGAGTGGGGAAGCGTTCGCCGGCGACGTGGATATGGACATTGTGCCAACCCCACCTTTGCCTGGTGCTACTTGTTCGGTTATCGGACTAGTTTGCGCCGCCCCAGGTGCGTGTGGTGAGGGCTCTACATCGAGGATGACGTAGTTATCCCGGACGCCTGGAACAGGCGGTGGGAGTAGGGCGGTCTTGGCTAGGTCTGGGTCGGAGGGGTCTTTGATCTCGTCCGGGAGATTGGATGCTTGGGTTTGCGCGATCTGGTCTTTCCTGGAATCGGATAGAGCTTCTTGCTGTGCGGCCAAACTACGTAAGGCTGCCTCTGTCACGATATCGGTGTCATCGTCAGAGAATATGTAGTGGACCGTTGGGTGGTGGTATTCTGAGGTGTGGGCGTCTTCGATCAAGGTGAAGAATGGCTGGAATGCGGGATGTAATAGAGGTTGTTCTTGGCCTTCTTCATGGTGGTCTTCAGGTCCATCCAAAACTGCATCTTGGGAAGGCGATTCAATTGTTCTTGGGAGTTGGTGGGTTTCGTCTGTTGATGGCCGGCCCTCCGGCAGTTGCCCTGTTGAGCGTCGATCACTTGGCCGCGAAGAGGCGGTGTCAGGCTGAGAGGGTATTTCCTTGTGCAAGGACTGCCGGGATGAGGAAGTGGACAGGGGAGGATGATAGGGAGAGTTGTTCAGAGACATCTCCATAAGCCGAGGCTACATCATTCTGGGGAAGAGCTCGGGATAGGATGAGGTTCTGTATCGCGTGCGGAGAGCTTCTTATCGATAGCGCCACGTGACGATCGGACGAAAAGTAACAGCAGCGTGTAGTTCAACTTGTACCTAGGTACATGTAGTTATTAAATGACTTTTATGTTGGTAAATGTATTATCTCCTAAGGTATCGCCTTTATTCTCCATTTTCGAAAATGATAGAATGGTACTTAGTGGGTTGATTGGGTATGATCTACATTGACCTATGTATGGCAAATATATACATCGACCTTTCGAACATCGAACACTACAGACAGAATGTTCCTAGGCAATTGTAACAACAATAACCTACACCGAAAAGTTAAACTACGCATGAACAATAGTCTTCGTAGTAGGAATAGCCTTGTGCTGTAAGAATGAAGTGTAAACTGAGATCCATTCCCACATTGACCAATTGATCAAAGTCTCTCCAACCATGGCATTAATTTGATGCTCAGTTGAGACTGAGGTCCCACCAACTCTTCCAATCAAAATTGGAATGCCCGATAAAAACACAAAGGGGTATCTCGAATTCGTCCGACAACGCCTTGATAACCATTGATGAGAAGGAGAAAAAAACACACAAATTATACCGTTATTCCTTGTCCTTCCATTCGAATTCTGGAGACAAGTTAGCTCGATATCACTCGGGCAATGTAGAGAAAGCATACTTTGTCGGCACATTGGACATAGTCCTTTGGAAGACTCCAGGTCAATCCAGGTCATCAAGCAATGCTGTTTTGAAAGGGTTGATCAGTCCAGTCCTAGCTTGAGATGTTCATTCCGTAGCCTTACCATGTGAAACGCGTGATTACATCTCCCTTGCACTATAATAGTCATCATAGTCAGTATTCAGCATGGAATTGGGAATAGGAAATGTCACCCACCAAGCGCGCAGTCGTCACCAGGGAATTTGCAGGTTGGACAAGTGCCATCAAACTGAACACGACAGATGCCACACACTTCATCCTCTGGAATATTCCAGTGCCATGTAGCAACGGCATTCCATTCTTTAATGGCGACCTTCATTGTGGAGTGGGATAGTGGATAGCCAAGCTGAAGAGGTGAAGAGAGGGAAAACCATCGGTCAACACCCGACGCTTATCTCTTATCGACCTTATCACATGTTCTCCGCACCATGGACCTCCACATATGCCGCCATAACACGCAATAGTACTCCTCTTATTGCTCTTCCCTGCCCTTCCGCTTCCTCTTACTCGCTGGCCTGACTTGCATTTCGCATATCTACCTAAGCTTTTGCTACCTCGTTATGTAAATTGGTCTTTAAAAGGCTCCTTTTCTCTCTCCCTCCACTATGGCTTTCGCAGCCAGATCTTTTGCTCCTGCTCGTCTCTTCCGCCCCAACATGTCCATCTCCACAGGGCTCCATACTCAGCGCAATGTTTCTTTTTCTTCGTATCTGGTGACACCAAAGCAGCTAAATGAAGCCCTCAAGAAGAACCCCACGACAAAAATCTCAACTTCCCCGCGGGTGATTCCCCTCTGTGCAGCATGGTTTATGCCGAACGACCCAGAAGGTCGCAAGGGAATTGACTCCTTCCGCAACTCACGCATCCCCCAGGCCCGATTCTTTGACCTTGATGCTATCAAAGATCAAGACTCACCCTATCCACACATGCTTCCCACTTGCGAGACCTTTGCTGAGGCCATGAGTGAGCTGGGGATCCGTCGCGATGACTCGGTGGTGGTTTACGACACTGCCGACGTGGGAATATTCAGCGCACCCCGTGTAGGCTGGACGCTGCGCGTATTTGGTCATGCTAATGTGCACATCCTCAACAACTATCGTCTCTGGGTCAAAGAAGGTCTTCCGACTGAGAGCGGCGAGCCAGCAGTAGTGGAGAAGTCCAAGTACTCTGTTCCAACATACGACTCGCGACTAGTGATCTCCTTCCGGGAGATGAAAGAGTTGGCATTTGACTATGGCAAAGAAGGTGCAGAGGAAATAGAGATCCTAGATGCACGGTCCTATGGTCGCTGGGCTGGAACCGACCCCGAGCCGCGCCCTGGCCTGTCATCGGGCCATATCCCTGGCTCCAAGAGCCTGCCCTTCCAAGAACTGCTGGACCCTGAAACAAAAGCCTATCTCCCTGCTGAAGACCTGCGAAAGGTCTTTGAGGCCCACAAGGTGGATCCAAACCAAACAATCATCAGCTCGTGCGGTACTGGCGTGACTGCCTCCATCATTGAGACAGCCCTGAGTGAGGCGGAATATGGTGACCCAAACCTGCGTCGGGTATATGACGGCAGTTGGACGTAAGTATATAAAAGTTTTCCCTGTAATTCAAATGTTGCTACTAGTACTAATATGAACATCGAAACTAGTGAGTGGGCGCAACGAGTTAAGGAATCGGATGGCCTCATCAAGAAGGTGAAGTCATAGGCCGGTATGATGGCTCTGGAACCCTTTTCTTCACGAACATGATCGTTTTTCTTTCTCTTTCTTTCTCTTTACTCTTAGACTGTATCCCTCTTCGATATATAGAAACCCTCTCCCTTTAAATTCGGGCTTGTTCCTGAAGCCCGCTTAGTCATCATATTTCCATCTCTGCCCATCGCATCATTTCTTAAGGTGTGTTCTTTGGCCCCAAGCAGATTGTATTGTTACAAAGATGCTGCAGATGGAAACATCCTGTCAACTGGATTCTCATCGTGAGTGAAAATAATCCCGGCTTTATCAACCGACATCCCACTCCTCCCTCTTCCCCCCCACATTCCCAGGTCCCTCCATCACCGAACCTCCTTCCTCAGCTCTAGGCCCGTGCTGACCGGCCCTGATTCAGTCGCGGTTGTCTACATTTCTAGTCTTCCGATATAGGGCGGTCTTTGACCTGTATCTCTCACTCACTACGAATACACGAATACAATCGTTCAATATCTGCCATGTCGACCGGACGCAAGGTCTTCCGATGTGCCGTGGACGAGACGGCCTTGTCCACCAATATTAGCGAAATCAAGAAATGGACCACTAATGGCGCTATCGATCTCGTGGTTCCTCTTTACAGTGAGTATCCGGATGTTGAGGATACTTTGATTGCCTTATTTCAGCGCGCCTGCCGATCTAACCATTGTTCTCTGATTAGCACTTGAACGACTCCATGCGCTGAAGCGAGCGGGATCACAGGTCGCCATCAACGCCCGCGAAGCAGTTCGCTTTCTTGACCGGGTCACTTCCGGCAAAGATCACATCGCCGCCGACCGAGTTGTCCTCCAGGGTCCCATGGAGCAATACGAGCGCTGGGAGGAGGCCGAGAAATTCTTCCTGCCGGAGTTCGAAGAGGAGCCCGAGGTAGTTGACGAGGCACTTAGCAATAAAGAGCCAGCGACTGAACCCAGCGCCGAGGATACTTTGACCAAGGACGAGTCGGATGATCTGTCGCAGATGCTTTTGTCCAAGCTGAACTTCAAGAAGGACCCAGAGGCTGTGTCGATCACCTCCGTCGGCACCCCTAGCGGACCTGGATCGCGAACATCCTCTCGCAGCTCCCGTACCAGCCCCGAGTGCGCCCAGCATGAGTCCAGCAATGGAACAGCCAAGAATAACAAAACAAAGAGCAAGCCTTCTACCCACCAGCGCACCATCTCCGGATCCGTCATCCCGACCGCGCCGCCCGCTCTGCGCCCATTGCTGAGCGCCCTGCTCTGGCGGTTGCATACCGGCCCCGATGCCGAGAACTCGACCAAGACCTGCATTCTGATCTCCAATGACCGTGCAACCCAGGTGTGGGCTCAAAAGTTTGGCATTGGTGTCAAGAATATTCTGCAGCTACGCACCGCTATCCAGTACGAGGAGCGCGAGTACAAAAACCGCTGCAAATATGTGGAAAAGACTCAGACCCAACCCGCTGAGCCGAAGACCTTATTGTCCTACGAGGAAGAGAGCGACGAGGATGAGCTAGTGTTCGTCCCCCGCGGTCGTGGAAAAGGAAATCCCCGAGGTGCCTCGCGTGGTGGGGGTCAGCGAAAGGCTGCTCCGAAGGCTGCCGCGAAGGCTGCGCCACCTCCTGTTGAGCCTGCTATCACCGTGGAAGTTCCTACCAAGCCCATCGACCCGGACTCTTTCAGCCGGTCTCTGGGTGGTGCAACCAAGCCGCACACTGTAGACTTGAGCACCCAGCAGGCTGCCGCCGGCGCCACCGGTGCCCCCCGCGGTAATGCTGGAGCCTCTCGCCGCTCATCTAATGGTCGTCGTGGTGGATCCTCGCGCGGTGCACGGGGCAATGGTCGTGGCCGCGGTAAGCTCTGGGTTCCTTGATTAACACGAGCAGTACGGTCTACTCCACGTCATCTCTTGATGATAGTAGACCGGAGTGTTTTGTGAACCAATGCATCCAGAACCGGGTAGGGGTGTCTCTTTTCTCTTTGCTGGACTGCAATAACTCCCCCCCAATGTGGGGAATCTGGATCTAGTGATCTGTCTTACTGTGATTGCCTGCAGAGTGTGTCTTTTCCCTCTTCCCCCGGCATAAACCATCCCAGAACCCCGGCATGATCGGATCTCGGACACGAAAGGACATGAATCCCATGGTGGATCCAACCCGCGGCTGTGATGAGCTGCTTGGATATGTCTACTTCGGAAAACCTGTGCCCCCCTTTCCCCCCCTTTTTCACCCTTTTCTTAGGAGACGGAGATGGGAGATCGTCAAATTGCGGAGACGTTGAGACGGTTGCTTTTCTTTTCTTTTCTTTTTTTTTTTGCGCTGGGAGATGGTATGATAGTGGATTGTATCTTTTTTTTATTTTACGATCTACTAGTATCCCAATTCCAGATTATCCATATTATCCCAGTGAATTCAATTACTCTTCGACTTTTTTTTCCTGTTGTTGTAAGTAAGTAATTGTTCCTATGATGTCGATGTATAGACCGCCGCTTTCCCCGCGTGATTGTCCCACGGGACATCACTTGACTTTCGCCTTCACAGCATTTAAGTACTTCATTCCTCCCATTCCTCTCTACTGATCTCACCTCTTTACAACGCTTGGAACACTTTGAAATATCATTAATTGCTACAATGTCTTCCATCGAACAGTCCCTTCCCCCAACCAACGAACGTCGCAACTCGCTGGAGAAACACCTCCAAACCCGCCCAGAAATACAGGACCTCAAGAACCGCCACATCCTGCTGGACACCAATGTAGCTCCGTGGGTGTCTCCGGGAAATTTCCCAGTTTCTTAAGATATGATCGTTAACACAATCACAGAGCCCTTCAATCCGCCCGCCAGGAGCTCGACCGCCAGCGTGCTACAGACAGTCTGAAGAAGAACCTGGAGAAGCGGCCTGAGAAGGACGAGCTGATTGAGCGTTTGTTTCCCTTTCTTTTCTCCTTTTCATTCTAATTTGATATGTTCTCATTTTCTACTTTATTTTGTACCTGAGGCTGGTACCTGGGGTTCCTCTCAGTATACTAACAACCCGGCAAGGTAATATCCTCCCCGCAACCTCTGCCGCCCCCGCGTTACAGGCTCATGCCCGTGAACTCGAGAAGCATATGCTGGCCGATAACCTTGAACATAAGATACAAAATCGGCCACAGCCTGAAGAATTGATTTCACAGGGTATTCTCTCCGAGGATGAGAACCCCCGCTCGCCCGTTTGATTGTGGCCCTGTGGAGTTAACGTTGCCATGGCTTTGGCTCTTGGGGCTATGAGATATGGGTAACACGATCGTTTTATGAGGGCGTTTTTCTTCTTTTATTCTTTGGTTTTTACCTCTTTTTTTCCCTTTTCTTACACCCAAGTTCAATGTTCAATGGTGTTTCTACAGTTTACAGTCTTTACCCTTCTGAACTGGTGATGTCACTGTGACGCTACCAGTATAGCAATGTCAAATAAGCAAATACGCGATTTCTATAAGAAAAGGTAGAAATGAGTCACTAATGAGGGAGATTGGGGTATGGACATAGTAAAAGACTTGATCAAATTAAATCTAGTTCCTGGCAGATGGAAAAAGCCATGCAAACCCTACCGGACCCCCCGAATTATAACGGACTACACCAATGCACAGTGGTCATTCAAAAGCCATTGATCATTGCTGGATACCTCATGATATGTTTTTCTTTTTAGTAGGATGACACCTCCACCGCGGCCGACAGATCAGGTGTCCATCCACTCGGCCTCTCACTCCCACGAACGACAATCCCATACGCCGCCCGCTCAACCTTCTCCACACTATTCTGCATCACATCCAGCTTCTTCGCCATATCCCGGAACATGTAATGCCGGGGTGGCACACTGAGCGCCTCAAACCCTGCGCGCATAGCACGTAGATCAACCACAATGCCACCCTCTGATGAAGCGACCGTCGATTTCTCGCTTTCGCTTGCTGTGTTCTCGGTCGTCTGGATAGCAGTTGCGTTTCCAGAACTCAGTGACAAAACCGCAAAGCGCATCATCTCTCCTGTGAGATCGTATAGGCCCATTAGGTAGTCTTCTTCTGAAACGAGGATTTGCGGTGGGATGCGGGCGGAGCACTCGGCGTGAGTGATGAGCGTTTGTGTGCGTAGGTAGTGGTCGAAGGAGATGGCCTCGATGAATTCTTGGATTCCGGCGCTGATTTGGCGCTGGTATCGCCAGCCATTGATGCCTAGTTGCTCGGGGACGACAGCCTCGAACAGCTCGCGGATTTGGTCGAAGCGGGTTTGGTTTTCTTGGGCGATTTTGGGTGGGAGGGGTTGGTTCGTTGCGCGGACTCGTTGAAGGGCGAAGATACTAGATATCTCTCAGTTAGTGACGCTCTTCTTTAGTTGGAGGTGAAGGGGGGGGGGGGGGGGGGCATACATCTTCTTGCTTAAGGCGGTAATGTCGCGACTTTTCTTGATGATACGTTCACGGCGATCATGGTGCTCGTCCAGCTCGTCGCGGAAGTTCTCAAAGATTGAGAGGATTGAAGGAGCTGACTCTGCTTCTGCCATTGTATCTTTATTTATATCCTTAGGATTTAGCTCGAGTGGCTGGCCTTCCCAGTCGCGTTTGGTACCCATTAGCAAAAAGTTGGGAGGTTGTTAAGTTCAGATCTCCTCATCTCCCCGATAAGATATGAGATGATCTTCGGTTTCCAGGCCGTCTACATCGTCTCTATCTATTGACATTTACAAGAGTCACGTCCGGCATTTTTAAGTGCTTTTGCTCATTGAAATAATTATTTCCACTGCTATATAGTATATGTACTAGTTCATTCAACGGCTCATTCAAACAACTTCGTGAGATGTTTGCCCCAGGTACCGGTATTTCAGAGGCTCACTTCCAAGGCCAGTAACGATGACTGTCTGCTCATCGCCTGGGACAATGTCAATAGCGTTGTCTCCAAGCAGTACCCCCTCTTGCTCCTCAAACACAAGACACTTGACCGGCTTGCGGGCACTGATCACCAACACCGCCTCACCAGATGTCCCTGTCTGTTTTTTAACCTCGACCTGTCGCTCGGACAGATTGAGATACTTCAGTGGCTGTGGCCAGTCGACATCCCGTGCTACAACCTGATTGTTCACCCACAACCGGGCGGCGAGGACATGCGGTTCACGCTCGGCGATGTGGTCGATAACACCATCAGTGATGATATCGGTGGTGCCATTCGCAGTAATGGTGATGTTTTCGTGTACGATAGGAGCCCGAATATCGCGGCCTGTGTTGACAGATAGGAATCGCAGCTCGACACTTCCTTGGACGGTCTTTCGCTGATTGCTGGCAATCCAAAGCTCGTACTTGCTGGTCTTGGGTGGTTGGGCATGTGCCACGCTCCAGTCGTGGTGCTCACGTCGAACCCCGACAGCGATTGGGTTCATGACCCGCTTGACGGCGTAGTATGCGGGCTTCGGCTTGAGGAAGTAGTCCACGATGGCCCATGAGATTGTTGGCCAGCAGTCGTTCAGCTGCCAGAGCAGTGCGCCGCCGCAGTGTCGCTCGTCGCCCCATTGCCGGCGCCAGCCTCGGTAACCAAACATCATGGTCTCTGCTTGCACAACTTGAGTCAGGTAGATGTAGGTCTAGAGATGTTAGCGTGTATCGATGGTCATCATGATGGTAGTCATACCTCGAGGTCTGTGGCGGTCCGTAGATTCTCCACGAGGTACGTCGCCAGTCTTCGTTCATGACCGTCGGCCTTGTTATGGAAGTCGATCACATGGGATTGGGGGAACTTGTCTTCCGGGTTCTCGACAAAGTAGTCAATAGTAGAGATGTGGGGGAATGCCTCCATTCCAAACTCGCTGTTGAACCGGCCGCCGAGAGTATCGAAGATTTGATATTTTTCTTGCGTTCCATGCCACACTATTCTGGTGATTAGCGCAATAACTCCGAGTGTGTTGGGGAATAAATACCGTTCCACTGGTGCATATCACCAACAGTGGCATCTGACGATATCTTGCCATCTCCCCATGGACTTCCAGGGTGGTAGAACGTGCCGGGTGAGTATTCAGCCACCACATCTGGGAGCAGCTTCTCATAAATGTATCGTGCCGGGAAATCTGTTTTCAGCCAGCTCTCCGGGTCTTTGTCCTCGTAGTTGTAGGTCAAGCCTTCAGACTCTGCAACCTGATAATCCTCATTGTTACCCGCATAGAGCACAATCGAAGGATGATGGCGCATACGCTCCAAATTGTAGATTGTCTCTTGACGGACAGACTCAAGCATCTTGGGCCATGTGGGATAATTGCCACATCCAAACATGAAGTCTTGCCAGACCAGCACTCCCAATTCGTCACAAGCCTCATAGAAGGAGTCATCTTCATAAATACCACCACCCCAGACACTTGCTCAACGTCAGCTAAATCCACGCAAATCCTAGACCAAAAAGACCCCCCCCCCAAACTTACCGAATCATCACTTGTCTGCCAGCCACCATAAGTTCAATCCACTTGCGGTATCGCTCGGCACTGATAGCAGGGAGCAGACTGTCCGCCGGAATCCAACATGAACCGCCGCAGAAGATGTCCATCCCATTAATTCGGAAGAAAAAGGATTTGCCATGCTTGTCCGGTTGTTGAACTACCTCGGCGGTCCGGATACCGAACTTCTTAGTTGCCCGGTCAACCTGTTCACCATTGCGAAGGAGCGACACCGATACGTCGTAAAGAGTCTGCTCGCCATATCCATGGGGCCACCACAGATCCGGCTTGTCGACTGAGAATGTTACTTGAGCGGTCTTCCCAGACACGGGGATAGTCTTGCTTGCAATCTCGTTCCCTTTTAAGCCTAAGCTAAACTGGGCCGTATATTCCCCATCCCCGACGCTCTCCACATCGATAACGGCCGTCACGTCAGCTGTCTGGTAGTCTGCAGAGAGCTGGGTTTGGGGCCACAGATTTGCTACGCGGGCCTGATACACCTCGAATCGAACGGCGCGCCAGATGCCCGCAGTCATCAACACTGGACCCCAGTCCCAGCCCCAGTGGTATTGGGCTTTCCGCACGGCCATTCGCGATGGATCGCCGTTGAATCCGACCCATTTGTGTGTTGTATCCTGGACTCGGAGCTCGCGCGCTTTGATGAGTGCACAGTCGAACTCAATCTCGAGTGTGTGTTCGCCCTCTGCTTCCAATGCTTTGGTTACGTCCACCCGGTGACCCAGGAACATGTTATCACTCTCCAGGATCACTTGTCCATCCAGTTTGACCTTGGCAAATGTATCGAGACCGTCGAAGACCAGGATAATTGAAGAGCCGGCGGGGGCGGATGGCTTCTCCACCACATTTCGGTAGACCCATGACTTCTCGTTGACCCAGCGGGCATCCAATTCTTTGAACCCAATATAAGGATCATCTAGCCTATTGGGAGAATACTGTTAGATTTGAAACATTTGGTCTGGGGGAAACAAAAGAGCTCACTTGTTGTTAGCAATGAGATCCTGCTGTACTACGGATGGGACCGTAGCTACTGGCAGCCATTCATCTGTATCCCGGTCCTTGAAGGACCAGCCAGAAGACAGGGAGTGCACGAGCTTAGCCATTTTGAAAAGCAATTGGCAATATGAAGAAAGTAGCCCTTGTCTGCCCCGGATTTATACATTGCTGGGGAACGACTCGTCCTTATCGATAAGCCCGGAGAACCCCTTTCCCTTTTTGGAAAGATGAAACTGGCCGTGTTCGAAAAGGACTAGTGTGACACATGACACTGTATTTTTGCAACTTATATTCTTCAAATACAATAAAACAACAGGAATTTGCAACTCTACAAAATTACAGCGGAGTCTCCCCACTATTTAGCAATGTCCTGGAATCCGCTGTGGTTGGTATATCTCGAGATTTATCCGGGAGCTTTGTTAGCCACGGCAAAGGTTCCGTCAAGCTCAAAATGCCATGCATTCCTGATGCCTGGCTTCCTTTTCCATGAGTTTCTGCTATCGTGAACTTAGCGACTCGCTGGACTGATGGACATGTACGGAGTATATCATATGCTCCCCCCCACCCCCTCTTATGCAGGCGGCTTCTTTCGCAGGCAGCTTCTTTCGGGCATTGATGGCCTACGCATTTGATTTATTATTACACTTATTGCAAATTACCGGTAGTATGCATGAGTGGTCACAAGTCACAACCGGACCAATGACCGTTGAACGTTGGCAGACAGTGGGTGTCCTTCATCCTCCTGCATCCTTCGGCATATTTTCATTATTCCACAGGCTTGGCATGTCCCATGATCACTTTCCTAGAGATCAATGGTCAGAGTGCGGAGTTTTGCAGAGTGCTTGAAATTCACTTTGCGCAGTTTGTCTCTCTTGATTTCTTTTCTCCCTTGAGAATAAGAGAAAATAAGGCGGGAACTCCTAACTGCCCCATGTCCCCATCTCGGGCCCTTGACTAGAAAGAGACATTGGCGCGAAATTATCTTGGCATCGGACCCCCACCGGCAAGTTGCGCCATACAATTTAGGCACGGCCCCTCCTGATACACAGGGTAAGCATAAGTGGACATGAGCACCAGCCCCTTGATTCGTGAAAATCCCTCATTCTAGGTGCCAGGCGTCGGGCTGAGAGCCATTATGGTATACTCCGTACGGAGGACACGGAGGATAGTCATAAAAATGAGAAAGTTTGACACTTTTGATTGGTGAAACAGGTTGAAATATCCGGTCAAAGCGAAAATTGGCTGGTACTGGACCACTGGACCACTGAACTACTGAACTACTGGACTCCCGGACTTGATCTCCTCATGCAAGAACGGACATGCACAGTGATCTTCCCCATATGATCGTGCAGTCCTGCAGGGCTCATGATTTCGCCAAAGTGAGTCTGGGGAAATTGCCCCTCACTTTGGGGAACCCATGCCACATCATGGTCAAGTACCCTGCCATGCACCTTCGGTGGCGTGTGAACAACTGGAAGCGAGATTGGAAATTTCCCGTGAATGGCAGACATCTGCACCCCTGTTCATGCTGGCGTGGCAATTCCCGGCTGAAACATTAACTGGGGACTGGAAACCCTAGTTGACCCTATACAGTGTCCCCTGTTGATCTTATATGCCGGGAGTTACTAATGTGGGAATCTTAATGTCAACCCGGAGGCTGAAGGGCCTTCTGTTTTCTTTCGCTAATAGATCTGAGAGAGAGTGTGTGTTCGTTTTCCCGCCAAGGAATAGTCCAAAGTCGTGGAGATCAGCCTATAATAATCCTAATATACTCGACCAATCACTATAACCCGACTGAGCCCGGACTGGCAAAAGAAAAAAGCCTTGGAAGTTCGAATTCACCAAAATGCGGGGAGATTAAGCGGATCAGCCTATTTGTTTCTTTTTCCGTTTTAGTCTGCTTTTCCCCTTTTAATCTTCTGCTTTTTTATTTTTCTCTCTTACATGACTTGCCACCTTTCAGCAATGTGAAGCATCAACTGTCTCATCAACATCCATAGGACATCATTCTACACATGTTACCCACTCAGTGACCACATGGTGGTCGTGAATTTTATACCCTTTAATCATCAACA